GCTTTAGCTGGGGTTGGAAGAAACGGAGCTAATCTGAAGTGTCTAAGTCCTAAAAAAGCATCAGCTTCTTTCAGTTCTATTGAGCAGCCAGTCACTTACCTGTAAGCTGGAAATGGGCCTGGCCCTTGCCTGGTTTTGGCTGACAATGAGCAGCAGAAGGAATCCAGGGCAAAAAAGAAGTTTCAGGTTCATCTTCATGTTCTGGTGTCTCTGATTCCTCCTCGCCTTGCGTCTCTCCTGTTCAGTGCTGCTCTGTGTCTCCAGCTACCAGCCTTTATATCTTCCTCCACCCCCTCCCAAGTCTACCTTTTGAGTTCCTGCCAATGCAAGGATTGGTTTGAGGTTCTGATCTGTTTTCGTCCTCCCAGGGGGAGGAGGGAGGAAATAGTTCACTTTTTCTGATGGCAAATAAAAGGAGCATTTTACACTTAGGCAATGCAGTATCATTCTGTTGCTGTGAATCTGAAGGTCTCTGCAGCCTGCTGTCTTGGTGCCACTTACGTATGTCACTTTGCTTAGTTCAGTGTTCCTTGGGTTGAGTGCTAAACCTTTCCTTTCCATCCAGAGAAAAATAACTGTGAGAGAAGCATAAAGTGAGACAGGAAGCAAATTGTATCCACTACACATTCACCTAGCTCCTTTGTCACCGTTAAGTACCAAATCAGAGGGTCAGGGGTCTCATAAAACACGCTATGTAAGAATTAAGTGTTATTACCGAACATCATAATATGGCATTAGTAACCTATGAGACAAGAGTGTGATTTGGAGAAGAAAGGAAATCTGAGTCCTAAAAATATGACAAGTAAGTTGTGTTAGTTACTGGCCTGAGTGACAGGGAGTGTGGCTGAAACCAGGCTGACGAAGAAAGCTTCTATGTGGCTTAAGTTGAGGAAGAAATTCCTCTTTTCCCCTGGATCCATCTTAAAACATTTCCTCTATGTGTTCTTTCTCAGTCTATCATACACAATTTGTATGTCTGAAATTAGTCTGAAAGGAAGCCCAGCTCCAACATCTTTCTTACCACATGTACAGTTACAGGGACATTAAAAAAGCTGCAGCATCAGAATGTGTGTTTGATGGGGTTTTTGTGGTTTGTTTAGTTTGTGTTGGGTTTTGGTTTTTAATGAATTGAAGCATCCACTTCAAAGAAAATAAGTTCTGTGAAATATTAGGGGGAGCAGGAGAAACTGAATCAGTTCTTAGCCAGGGTCTTGAGGGTATTTAAATCACTGCTGTTGGCCAGACCTCCCTCTACTGTAAAAGCACCTGGGAGATGAGTGGGTGCCCTGATGAAGATGTATATAGATAACTGATTCTCCAACCCCCCCATCTGTTCTAACGAGTTTTTTACTAGGTTCCATATGAAGAAATGACCCCTTTTCTGTTTTGGGGGCAATGGGAAAGAGCAGCAAAAAAATCTGTGAAGTTGTGTGTTTTGTAGGGCTTGAAATTTGACCCTGCTGAAAAATGGAAATGTTCTTGAGTATGCAATGGTGCATCTTGATCTTTCACTGCATTTTTACACAGATGTGATGCAGAAAGTTAAAGGCCATTAAACTGGATCTGTATGGAGGAAATGGAAACGAAAGACCATCTGGCACTTTTCATCTGATCTTTGAGGTTGAGAGTCTTGTTGGTACTGAAAGCTTGGAAAAAATAATTCTGTGATGTGCCAGTGAGTTTAACGTTTTCAGTGTCTTTTCATCTGCAGATCAGTTTAGGACATAGTTGTTGTGTGTCTCTAGAAATGGGTATTCTAAGGAGACAGCTTATAAACATCTCTATGTGACAGAAAGGGAGGTCTGCTGTTATTATGTTGTTCAGATTTTTTTGTTGTTGATGATGATTAAACCCACATTTGATCTGAAAATTATTAGAAAACGAAATCATCATTTCAGAGGTTTGAGGTGTGTACTTTGCAGTGTAACAAGACAGTAAAAGAAAGTCAGGGCAGTTTCAGGCTCGTCCCTTCTCTGAAAAAGCCTAGGGTTGTTTCCTTGGTTTGATTGGCTTGTCACAAGTCTGCAATGTATGTGGATAATAAATCTTGACCTCAAGATCTCTGAACTTGTTTTGGGGGACTTTTGAATTGCCTTTCTAGTAACTGTTTGAAATATATACACTAGCACAGGCCTCATCTATTACTATGTTGGTAAAATCGGAACAATTAAGGTCGGAAAGGACTTCTGGACATCTGTAGCACAATCTCGTGCTAAAAGCAGAGCCAACTTAGATCACATTGCTTAGTGCCTTGTCAAGTTGAGTTTTGAAAATCTTCAAGAAACAACGATTTCCTAATATCTAGTTGGAATTTTTCTTGTTGCAACTTGTGTCATTGCCTCTCATCCTAATGCACTGCAGTTGGATGCTGTCCATAAGCAGAACAAAAGGATGTTCCGTCTCCCAAAACAATGTGTTTTTCACAGAGTGCTGCATAACCTAGACAATGAGGACAACTTCAGCCCATCTAGTCAACAGCTGGGTTCAAATCAGATTTAGTGCAGTGGAAAGTGGTTAGAAACAGAAAGCCATCCAGCAAAAGTCTCAGCTTTACATTCTGGATCTTCTCGGGGCTCAGAGTAGCATTGAAACTCAGCGTCTGAATATTCACAGCTATTTCAAAAATTGCCGTTGGGGTGGTGCAGTGAAGATAGAGACTTCAACAACAAATTTCATTCTGTAAGAAGGGAGGAGCCCCTGAGGAGAGTGGAAAATATTTGGGAGATGGGAAATGGCTTTGCGTCCATTTCTGAAGCGATTTGCGTGTTCCTTTATATGGCAAATCCTCCATATGGGGTGGAAGGAAGTATCAAGAAGGCATAGGCTGGTGTGTGTTGCTCATCTCCAACAGTAAATTGTTTCCTAGCTTACTGAGGTATTTCTTCTGGACCAGCAGAGATGTTATTTCTTACTAAAAGAGTAGGGTTAGGGCATACTATTCCTCTGGGGATATATCTGCCTCGTTTCTACAGACTGCTGTGCGGAAGCCGAGCCCTGAAGTTGATAGCATGTGGCGTGCTTGGATAGGTACCATCAGAGCACTGCCGCAGTAACTCATTACCCTCCTCCTTCCTAGCTCAGTGACCCCTTTCAGCCTCCCTCTCCTTCCCAGTTGCTCAGGCCAGCATTTCCTGGCTCACTGCAGCTGACTGAAAGGGCAGTGACGTGCTTGTAGCGCTTTCGTCAAAGTGGGATCGCCAAGTCCTTGATGGAAGCTGGCACCAGGGGCCCCTCGTTGCGAGACATTAACATTTAGCTGTGGTATCCACGCATTTGCCTGGTTGTCCCTTTCCCTTGCCCTCTCCCGAGTGGTCTGAGCTGAGGCAAGGTTCAGTGCACAGCATCACCATGAGCCCAGGCTTGGCTGGTAATTACCCAGCTGCAGGTGCTGTGCTTGCTCTTCTGGCACTTTGTTGCCTTCACCTTAGGTTATGTGCTGACAGCAAGGCCCTGTTGCAGGAGGGAGTCTCTCTGCAGAAAAGGGACCTGGCACAGCGACTGTCGAGCTCACTTACCTGGTGTAAAGCTGGCATGTATCCACTGGATCTGCACCGGCACAGTCCAGAGGAGAATTTGGTCCCTACCTCAGGGATGGCTGGGACTGTGTACTGGGAGGAAATAATTTCTCAGTGTCTGTGATAACCCGTCTGTGGGGAACAAACCAAAACCTTTTACTGCTGGGTGACTCAGAAGGAGCTTCCCTTGTGGGCTGGTCATCCCACAGTGGCCCACTGCCCTTGTTCCCTCTCTCCTATTCCTGTCCAAGAGCACCTTCTGTGGGACTGTAAAGGCCAGTAAAAGGATAGATTCAGTGCTGTCACTGCTCTTCTCTGAGGTCCCAAGAATGCATTTTGTCTTTGCCTGATCTGTTCTGCTCTCACGGATGCTCGTTGAACTCTTTGTTAGAGCGGTGAAGAGGGGCATTTTCCTCTGTAGCCCTTTGGGACAAGAAGGGGCCTAGGCCACCTGAGGACAAGGAGGGCAGCAGACTGGCATTTAGTAGCAGGTCATTAGTGGTTCTGGATCATTGGGTTTTGATGGCAAAATTTTAATATTACATTTTGCAGATACATTTATCACATTCTGCTGGTGCCGATGAAGCCAGCAGGGAAGTGGCAGTGAGGGAGGGGATGAAATAGCTGGAGATTGTGCTCAGTGCTAGTCAAATGGCTGTCTCAGTACGCTCTGTGGCTCACTGCTGCTTGCTGGGAGAGCAGCTAGGCCCCATTCTGATCTCCCCTGCAGCAGGCATGCAAACAAAGAAGCCACATGGGACCTCTGTCGTGTAGCAGCCAAGATCAATCTGACTTCTGTCATTATCCCCCAATTCTGGCACGTGGGTGGCATTAGGGAGAGAAGTGCGACATTCATTGGTGGGTGTTCCAGGCTCCCTTTCGATGATTCATCTCCCAAAGGAGCTTTTTCTTCATGCATGAGGGCATTTTCAGTGTCAGTGGTCCTGCTGTGTGGTTTGCTGCTAAAGATGTCTGGCTTTGCTCTGTGCTAGTCTTGATGAAGCTTGTAACAATTTTGCTGTAAGTTCTTTTGACTTCTAGAAGGGAGCTGCTTTTCCCAAGGTACTTTAAGCACAGAGTCCCACTGCCTGTGGTTCAGCACTCTTCAGCAAATGGTATCCTCAGGTCTCAAAGGAAAAAGTGGAGAGGGAATGGATCAAGTTATAGATGTAAATGATGGTCGTAGAGCAGTGTGAAGATGAAATGTGAAAACTGCTGGAGAGCTGGTGTGAAAAACACAGGTGGCTTTTACAGGCTGTAGCACTGGAGAAGAATCTCAGATCAATCATGGCAGGATGATAAGAAGAAAGGAGGGGTTTTGTATTAGACAAATGTAAGAAGCAAGTGGGGAATGAAGGCTAGGCAAACATTGTAGGCTCAGCTGAAACAAAACTGAGGAATTTTGGAGACCCTAGTAAAATGGATCTTGAAACAAAGAGGACATAATCTGAGGTGTTCGGGGCAATGGCACAAGACTTCAGGTCGATGCCTAGTGAGAGGCAGAGATTCCATAAATCCTCACCTGAAACTGTATTTTTGGCTAAGCTTCATCTCTAGAAAGGTGAACAGCATCTTGCTGCCTGGTTGTTTTGGAAAGGTGGGCATGTCTACACAGGCAAGTTGTAGGTATTCACAGTGCAACTGAAAACATGGATTAGGTGTGCATGGTTTTAAACC